ATGTTGTGAACCTCACATTTCTTTTCAAAAAGGGAAAAATGACACTTATTTGGGGACAACCCAAAAAGGAAAGTAAGACAGGTAAAATAGGATGGAAGGCGTGTGTATTAGTTGGGACATCTCAATCTTTTCGCGCTTTCCGACTTTGCTTGGTCCAATATCCCATCCTACAAGTCCTAGAATCTTAATGAAAAGGAGTAGTATCTATATGTATGATAAGTAGTTTTCTAGCTGAGGAAGCGGTCCAACCCAGCTGATCGCCGACTCACTCTCCCTTACGGGAGGTCTCAGATTCAAAACTCAATGGAGTGAGTTTCACTCTAGATTACTCCAGGCTCCCTCAGCCCCCTCCCCCAGACGACCCCTGGAGTAAAAAAAAAGTAGTTTTCTACCTTCGTATAGGAATTTACAAGGTAAGCAAAATCCAAATCAATTTTCAGAAAAGAATTTTGAAAATGTTATTCTTTAATTTGAATAACCATATAAAAGTAGGCTTCTCAAAAAGGTCTTTGGCTCATGAAATCGTTGTCCACCATATATGAATAATGACAGTAATTTTCATGCATATTTATTAAATTTGAATGGAATATATTAGATTTCGATAAATGGCTGAAGTTCAACATACTACATTACAAAGGATTTTGAAGATTTAATGTTTTAAATTTTAACATTCATCTTAAGTGGATAGACTCCAAACATCTATTACCACATGTTATAATTTTGCAATATTAAACGTCTAATTTTAGCATTGAAGATGCTCTAATTATTCTTCATCAAAACTTTTCAATATTATCCATCCATGTATTTGATGTGCCCATCGGATGTATCTCTATGTTTGAAAAACCGACCCGACCCGGCCGGGTCGACCCGGAACCCGACGACCCGGACAAAATCCCGGTTCGGTTTTTACAAAACCCGGAAATGGTCAAAAACCGGAAAAACCTGGCCCGGACCCAGACCCAAGAAACCCGAAAAACCCGGGAAAACCCGGTTTTAGGTGTTGTTCCAAAAAAATAATTTCTTTTTAATTTTAATGCATTTTTTAAATCAATAAAATTGCAATTTCAATACCCTAAAAAGAAAAACTATAATATATTTATATATTTATTTAAGAATTAAAATCATGCTAAATTATAATATAAATGCATGATACAAATAAATGTATCATTATATATATTTATAGGATCAAAAATTATAGTTCGAAATATTATGAGAGTGTATTAAATGCTTAATAAGTAGTATTGTTAGTTGATTATTATGAACATTAACTACTTTTTAGTTTTTATTACTCCCTCTGTCCCGCAAAGAGCTTCCTGGTTTGACCTACACACATATTAAGGAAATAAACTTACCAGGGGGTAAATTTTACTATTTTGACACTGTTTCGACACTGTTTGGCACTGTTTGACACTGTTTTGCACTGTTTGGCATTGTTTTGATGTAGATAACATCCCATTTAGGAAAATGTGAACTTCTTTTTGGGACTGCTAAAAAAGGAAAGCGAGAAGTTCTTTGCGGAACGGAGGGAGTATAATTTTATATACTCCGTATAATAATTATATGTTTATTATTATTATTATATAGACGTATAATTGTTGACCGATTTTCTGGCGTTGACCGGGTTGACCCACCAGGGCCAGGTTGACCCGTGACCCGGTCACTTGATCGGGTCGCTCACCTGTCCGATTTTTTGTCAAATAGATGTATCTTAAACCATATGTAAGAAATAGTAAATGACATCAATTTAAGGAAATACTTTTTTCTGATAAAAGAATGAAAAGAAAAATATTCTTTCGTACATAGATGTATTAGTTTATTAATGACATCAATATATATACTTTTTTAATATCTTAGTTCATGTGTGGACGTGAAGAAGAAATTAAATGCATCTTCTTTGATCACAATTTGGCCATTTGGTAGGTACTATGGAAGAAAAACCCAACGCAACTACTTCCGCTGCCCTGCCCCACCGCCGCCTGTTATAACCGTCCGTCTTGTGAGTTGTGACATCCAGCGTGTAGGTGGGAAGGTATCATCATTCTGGTTTGGCGTCTTTCTTCCTAGCTAACAAATTTGATTTTCACATGCTCAAATTAGTTTCAATTGTCGGTTAACAAAGTTTTTAGTTGGATTCACTATACTAGACTAGATTTAAGTAGATCGGATCAAACCAGATCAGACTTAAGCAGATCAGATCAGCAAATTACAGTTCAAGTAAAAACATCCTAAATCCAACCCTAAATGTTCTCCGGTCTCCATGTCTCTGCCAGACAAAGTATTTGAAAGGATTTTAAATCACACTAACTTAACCACTCATAATGGATGTATACTTTATACTCGTGTGCATCAGAAAGTCAGCTCAACCCATAAGAGTTGTGACCTCACACGCCTGTTTCGGGTTTCGATCTTTAGTCACTGTAAAAATGTCACCAATAGGGATTTTTTGGTAAGATTAAAATCTAGACATTTAGTCCATATTTATTAAGAGTTTGGTTGTTAGTGCTAGAGTGGATTAAATCTACTCAAATTGTTGAACAACTTGAACATGTGAAATTATCATTGGTAAACAAAAATGCTAGATTGTAAAAAATTGTATTGAAATACATTTTTTTACATTTTATTATTCAAATAAATAAAAAATCTATGAAACAAACTAAAACAGAGTGCTACCTGGAATTTAGCTAAAAAGTAATTTCAGTCTTATTTATTTTGAATACTTCCTACCCCAAGAATTAAGTTTCTTAAATGAGGATATGGTGATGTTATAAACAAAATTTGATTTGTGTGGCCAATAGATATTGAATCGGTGGTGTGAACAAAGTAATAATGAATTACGATCAATTAAAAAATTATTACAAATATGACATGAAATGAAACATATACTCCCTCCGTTCCGAAATGAACTTCACAGTCACTATTTACATGGTCAACTTAAATTACTCTTAATCTTATGTTTTATATATCAAATTTTTATCAAATTTATATTTTTTTTATCAGCCTTTGTAGCGGTTTTAATGTAGTTTCTCAATATGTAAATTTTATTTACTAAAAAAAATCTGAGTATGAACAGGGATCGAGTTACTTTATCGTCGGTCAAGCATCGTAATACGAAATGGGAAGTTCATTTTGGGACGGAGGTAGTATTTTTTTTGTTGTTGCAATTTTTCCATGATATTTTTACATTAATCATTTAAACAAAATCAAAATTTTGGATGGGCTGGGCCCCCAGGTTTTCCACCCTAGCTATGCCCCTTGGTGGAGGGGGTATTATACAATTAATGAAGTGTGCAAATAAAAGGAAATTAGTATTGGGAAAAAGGCAAAAAATAACACTAAGATTTTTAATGGATCTCGAATTGGACATGCAATGGGTTTTTTAGTAAATCAAATAAACACCAATTCGAACTTCTTCTTTGATTATCAGCCACCCACTAACACTCCCTTAAAGAGACGTCTTCTCCTTCCATTACAAACACACCCCAATTTGCAACCTTAATTCATTCTCCATGGACGGTAAATATGAGTGACTTGAACTTCATACCCAATCTCCTTCAAAGACAATGCAACATTAAGCATTATTACTTGGTATGGATCAACCAACAAATTAACAAATCCTAGTTTGGGTACCAACTATCCACCAGATAACCCAAACAATAATTGACAACCCAAACAATAATTGACAGGGTAATATCAATACTCACTAATCCTAGTTTGGATTTTCTGTGGGGGAATCCCATTGCTCTCCCAGGCTCAATAGAGACATTGAGCTTAGCTAAAATTTTGTAAGGTTCAAACTTAAAATCTTCACAAAAATCTAATCCACCAATTAAAAAACTCCAAATCCCCATACCCAACATCACTTGCCTTTGAGAAATTTTCTGATTTTTCCTCAAATGAACCAAGTAACAACATCTGGAACAACATAGTGAAGAAGAAGAACAGTCACACAGTACAAATCCAGGGCAGATTGTCAATCTTCTTGAACACCAGTGCCCTTGTGCGTCTCGATTTGAACCTATGAAGCCTGCTTACTCGTGAATCGTGATCTTTCTTGAATGGAACACCACTTTCAAGAGAACCCATTTATCCGCCCATCAAATATGACTCTTAATAAGATACGGAGTACATTCTATCAAGAACAAGACTTTCAAGAAAGAGAGAATATCAATCTTTCTTGCTCGTCATTAGCTGCTTGTGAAATTGAGAGTAATTTTTTTCTTTTCTTCTCTAGTAAAAGAATGTATGGATGGCTGAGAATCAACGAAAAACTTCAAGTTGGTGTTTACTTGATCTACTAAAAACCTCAGTGTCCAATTTGAGATTCATTAAAAACTTTAGTGTCATTTTTTACCCTTCTCCAATTAGTATTTGGTTAAAAAAGCGGCAGATAAGAGTGATGAAATGATCAAATGATTCTCAAAGAAGCTATAAGATTTAAAGATAAGAAATTGCCAAATGTAGGAGTAAGACAAGGAAATGCAAATATAGGAGTTTATATTTTAATAATTTAATTCCCGTAATTAAGAATAATATACTCTGTGTGGACAATAATACCCAAGTGTTTAGGGTACCTTATTATGGTTTAGGATGGTGGTTGGTAGCGGCGGCAGCGGAAGGCCAACGACCAGCGGTGGCGTTCCGATAACCGGCAACGGCCACCCAGCAGCAACAATGGCTGTCCGGTGAGACTTGAGAGTGGTTAAAAGCTTCAAATCTTATTAGGGTGTTTTTGTACAACCACAAATTATTACTTCTATTTAGAGAATTAAAACATTAACTCATATATTTGCATTTTAGATATGTTTTGCTTCTATTGTGAAAATTCTCTTTAAAGTTTCATGTTTTAATCTGATAGAAGAATACTCCAAAATCATAAATCATATGATCGAGTATATATTAACTAAGTATTTTATACATTGCCTCTGTAAGACACATAGTTCAACATAACATATTTGATTCATAAGCAAAAATTAGGGGCTAAGTAAACCACACAATCATTATTTTGATAATCCTAATGAGATTTCTTATTAAGTTGCTAATGATGAAACCGTTCACATAATCATCGTTAATTGAGAAGGTGACCAAATGTTATGTATGCTCTTTTACCAAGGGGAAATGTATGTAGAAGTAGTATAAGCCAGTGCATAAGCTTTTCAGTCAGGAACTGGACTGAGGAAACAGACTATTACTTAAGCCTACACACTGGCTGGATACATTTTTATTAATTAAGGTTCTATAAAAGGCGATCCTTCAATTCTGCATGGAAATGCAAACATGTCAGCTACATCGAATTGATCAACACGCAATCCTTCATTTCCGGCGCACAAACCTTCTCGGAATCCCAAATATGAGAGCCTTCATCAAGAATCCCCGATCGAAGCTACAAGCAAGGGCTAAAGCTCCAACGCAGATGACCCACTTTGAAATCATAACATCTGGTGATGCTGCAGCAGCTGGTTTATTTTGGGAGGAACATTTATTAGTTTCCACTTCAGATGAAGAACTACTAGTGCAACCACCTTGTTTCTCGAGGAATTGAAGCGAAGTGTGAGGAAGGCTTGTAAGCTTGGTGTTAATACGAGCCAGCAGAACATATCGGGAAAGAGGGGGATCAGATGCTCTGTACTTGAGATAAGCTCGCAGCCCGGGGTCAATCCTCTTTACAGTTCCCCACATGCCATTCTCAACTCCAAACTTTGCGATCCCCCTTGGCATTCCCATATCCTCATAATGGAACAGTGTGATCTCACTTGCACTAAAATGCCCATCTCTTTCTGATTTAGCTGCATGCATGTCTTTCACATTAACCACGGCAATATTTGCTTGTTTAACCATTATTTAGAGCAAAATGCAATACACCAGTACATATAGTTAGACAAGATTTATGAGCTACCAACAAAAAAGTGTTATATATACCAGGTTGAATACGCCAACATGACCAAAATTCATCAACTTTCTTCGCCTTTTCTCTTCTGGTGATATAAGAACAAGGCACACCCTGACAAATTACAAAATGTAATAAATTAATAATGAGTATAAGCTTCAATATAAAGGGTAAGATATGAGTGGTTAGACATTCATGCACTTGTTTACACTTGTATATACTGCAGTACATCAGGATGTATGGAAATCAGGTGAAAGTTTTGTAATTTTCTTGATGTTACTCATAATTTCCTCTAAAGAATGTTGTTTACCTTTTCAATCTTCTCACGTTCATGCTCTATTTATTTTGATCATTTTTTCATTAAAGCATGCAAAAGAAATAAGAAATAGAATTCAATCATTTTTATACTTAGCATTCAGGCTATTATGAACTGTTAGATAAACCTTGTCTTTACCTTGCATATGCAATAATACGAATCGCGCAACTGCCAAATCCGACGAGCGATTGTGTAATCTCTATAACAAGCGACAACGGGGAACTATGCAAAGTAGAATAAAGATTAATCACCAATGCTTTCTTATAACCAGAAATCAGTATTGCTAAATAAAAAACTTACAATAATTAATAAAGTAAAGAGGATAGGCATCATACTTTGCGAATCCAGTGAACTAGCATAGCTCCAGTCTCTTTACACTCCTCCAAGAGATCGGATTTGAAATGCATTGCATCCCAGTTCGATCTGAACTCATCATCCCAATAGAAATCCCTGAGGATTTCGGGTGTAATATTCTCGTGTACAGTTATGGTTCTATACATCAAGTGGCCCTTCTGAAAAAGGGGCAGGTAAGCAAAAATACAAGTACCAAAAAAATATATCAGAAAAAGGTGCGTGAATAATCACACAATTTATAAAATAAAAAATTCTGCTGATCAAGAAAAAGATATGATGACCTTAGAGTTCCTACGATGACCTTTGAACCTTATGTTGGTATCAGACCGTTCCAACACCTTAATCCAACAAGGTCCATCAATCTCTTCTTCAAGCAATTGGTGTAATTCAAGAAGGTCTTTCTCAGTTAATATGTAAGGTTTTGCTACACTTGGCTGCAATGCTCTGTATAAACCAATTCAAATTGTTATTTTAAAACTAGAATCGAACAAAGCAATAGAAATGTATCAAAAGGTCAATCGAATAGGACACGTAGTCCAATCCATTATTTGTGAGTTTGTATCGCTATATTTGACCGTGTATGGTGAATTTACATGCCACAAGATTGTGGGTCATTAGATTATAATAATCATGAACTCTATCTGCTCTTTTTTAGTGTTGATGAAATGGATTGTTGACTTGAGCTTAGGTGACTTTGATATCATATTAAGACACACTTGATGTTTTATCTTAAAAGGTAAATCTTATAGACTGATTAGGACACAACCTTCCAACTTGTGTTTTAATCTCTATACTAAAAAAAGAAGATAAACTCATATGACTAACCTCAGCTACTGCTGGCCTTCTGATAATCTCATAATGCTTCCAAATATGACTTACTCTATAATAATCTCAACAGCTATGCTCCCTTCGGATGGAAAGGAATGTAGTTAAATATAGGTAAGAAATTTGATTTATTTCATTTCAGAACTTACTAAAAGGGGTGTTTCCCTAAATGATCTCAACTCTCAAGTAAAATTCAACTTAGTGAACAATTTAAAGCCTGATATTTTAGGAAAGAGAAGTAGAACAATCTCTATTATTGGTATTATCATTTTAATGTCAACCATTCATAGTATCCAGGACACAATATCTTCTCTAACCCATTCTATTATGCATAGACGGCTGAGACAATTCTGAGATTAATTATGGGAGATTTAAAAATAATAATGATCCACAAGCTATAATATGTGCAAAAAATAGAGATATTGCAGCAAACCTCTGAACAGGGGTGACTTCCGGAGCTTCTTCCTCATGAGTCCAAGTAATTAAGCTTGGCAATTGAAAATTCACAGAAGTCAAATTCTGAACTGAACCTAACTCCAACGGGAAGCTAATCCCAGAAAACGACGGAAACGAAGACGACGGCATTATCGAGGAAACCCATTTCGCAGCACCATCCAAGTTAGCCCAATTAGGCTTCCACGCCCAACCCGCCAACAATCCGACCACAACCGCTAACCAGAGCGGCGTAGAATACATTAAAAGATCAAAGATTGCATACCCAATCGCTGTATTTTGCAAAAGCTCAAATAAGCCGTCCATGTTCATTCAGTAAAGCGAGCAGTTCTGTGCTCTTTTGGCGGCAAAGTGGGGAGTGTGAGAGAATGGATATATATACATTAATCCATGCATAGATTGAAGGAGTGGAGATGTTTCAGCTTCCTGAACGTGGGCAATGTTTATCCAAATGTGGGAATTTCAGCGTTAGAGCAGACAAAGACGGAACTTGTTGCATCGATCGGGGAGCAGTTTGAACGACTCTATTTTGTTGTCTGTGGATCAAATCTCGGAAAATTGTATTCATTGCACCAAGGTACCATGCACTCACACTCATGCACCGTCCCCCTCCCCAAAAATGGATTTCATATTCATCCTTTCACAAAAATATAGTGTCTCATATTCATCCTTTCAAAAAAATAAAATATTAAAATACTCTCTATGTTAATTGTTTAATTGTCATAATTTTTTATTTCATGTTTTATAAAATGAATTGTTTAATAAAATGAAAAGGTAAAGTTACGGTTGCCTTTTCTATATTAGTTGTTAGTTGTAGTTACCGTAAAAGATCATTTTTAGTTATTCTTCATATAATCTTTTCTTTGTTTTATTAATAAAATACTTCGTATATTTTAAATATTTTTTTCACAAATCAAGAAAATCAGTCAATTCAGTCACTTTAGCTATAATTTCATAAACTTCAGCAGAATCAACCGATAATTTATTTTATACTTTAAATTTTTAGATAAAAGTTTGTTAAAAGTGTAATGACAGCACAAATTATATAGTACAATCCACTCTACATTGAACATGGTACAATTGAGTATTTTTGTAATACTTATGTTATGGTCTTTTTATTCTTTCTTGTTTGGCCGACCGTCTGCTTCAACAAGAAGAAATTCGTTGCCGATGTCTTCGCTTGCCCTCATCACTACACTCCGTCTATCGAAAATCCATGGCGCCTAAGTCGCGCCACCCTCACCACATCAGCAAATCTAGCACATGGGACTCTTGGCTGCCCTCGTCGCCAGTATAGCCGATTGTCGCCACTGTCACAACACCCTTTCCCACCAAACCTACCACTGAAGGACACTGCTGCCCGTCGGATTCACTATTGGAGGGTCTCTCGCTATCGTTGGAAGGTTGCCTTTGCTTGTCGGCCATCCATCGACATCATCGCTTGTCGCCCGTCCACCGCCACCAACGATTGCCTGTCTTCTAGTGCCGTCGCCGCTTGCTGTCCAACGAGTCTTGTCGCATCACTCAAGAACAACGAATCGACTAAATTGTTAATAATAAATCTATTACATGTAAATATTATAGAAATGAGTTTTATTTTAAGCTCAAATGAGTATAACATTTTAAAAAAATGAGCACACACAAATGAATATTTAAGCGCGTTACATATTTCAAGCGATCTTTTGAATTTTTCGATGGTGGTTATGTAGGTCATGTATGCTTATTTGGTACTAGTGTTATGTTTATTTTAAAATGTCATATCAATGTATATATGAAAAGTATCATTCAAAGAATTACATTATATTTGTATGTTGAAATCGATAGATATAATTTAAGACCTGTTTACAAAAGAAATAATTGATAATAAGTAATACCAAAGTTAATTAGAAGACACGCATGGGAGCTAAGATCAAGATATTCAATGAAAACGTTTTAATGTTAAATCTGCACAACCACCAAATCTAGCACTTAGGATTTCGACTGTCCTCGTCGCCAGTATAGCCGCTCGCCCCCCTTGGAAACGCCCTTTCCCACCAAACCTGCCATCGAAGGACACCACCGCCTGTTGGATTTGCTGATGGAAGGTCTCTCGCTGCCATTGGAAGGCTGCCTTCGCTTGCTGGCCGACCATCGCTGCCATCGCTTGTCGGCCATCCAGCACCGTCATCGCTTACCGATCATCCACACCGCCAACGCTTGCCTGTCTTTCAGCGTCACCGCCACTTGTTGTCTATCCAGTCTTGTCGCATGACTCAAGAACGACAAATCGATTAAATTATTAGTAATAATTTATTATATGTGCATATTATAGAAATAGAGGTTGTAGAATCTCAATCTTCCAAATCAGGTCTCCAATTTTACACCCACAAAGGATGTTAATACCACTAGGAATCTTAAGCAGGACATTTGTATGTTTTCCGATAGTTAATCTGTTATTTAACTGTGCAAAAACCTTGTTTTCCATGATAGAACTAAACATATTGACGTTAGATTTCATTTTATACGTGATATTGTAAGTGCAGGCGATATCAAGTTGATTAAAATTCCATCTGAATTTAATCCTGCTGACATGGGGACTAAATATCTCTCTGTCGAAAAGTTAATGTTGTGCAAGCACACGTAAAACATTGATTGCGGATAAGTTGTCTGGTGTTCTTTCCCCTTTTGCTTGAATGTGTCTTTGTGATCATTCAAACAATCCAGTGATGATGAGTCTCAAATTTGTGTTAGAGTTCTTACTCTAAGCCACTATGGTCCAATAAGGTGGAGAATGTGTTGGCATTGTTTACTAGCTTCTTCAGCCTTCCTCTCTAACGAACGTTTGTTCTTGTTTCCTTTTCCTTTTGAGAAATTACCCAAAATAGGACTAAAAATGTTTGTATATTCCAAAACAGGACTATCATGTTTTTATTCCCAAAATAGGACTAATTACTGCCATGTTTTGGTAGTACCAGACTTTAAACATGACAGTATTTTCCAAACATGACAGTAATTACTCATATTTTGAGAATAAATACATGGCAGTCCTATTTTGGAATTTTCAAACTTTTTACTCTTATTTCGGAAAATTTACCTTTCCTTTTCCTCTACGCTATGCGATTCGAGCATCTATCTATCGAAGGTAAGTTGCCTTCTTTAACAGATTTCTTGGTCTATTTAATTCCTCCTTTGTGGGTGAAATTTGGACGAGACCTGAGCTGGAAAGTAGATATTACAATGGTAGTACTCCCTCCGTCCCTAATAACTTTGTCAAGTTTGACCGACACGGGGATTAATAAAGTAAAAACTGTGTGCAGTGGCGGAACTATTTGATGGAGTATATGGGTCTGAGCCCCCGGACCCACATACTCGGAAGAACAGAAAGCACAACAGAGTGGCGCCCTCGTCGGCCAAGACGCCCCCGTCGGCCGAAAAGGGGCCAACTCGGATTATGGTCCTGAGTCCAAGGAACCCGGGCGCCCTCGTCGGCCGTGCCCTCGTCGGCCGTGCCCTTGTCGGCCACGCCCTCGTCGGCCAAGAAGACCTCCCAGAATCAGATTTTATACTTACTCATTTGTACAGCCCATTAGTGGCTTTGTATTCGGCCCAGTAGCGGTCCAGTTGTAAATGGGCCTCTCAAGCCCAAGGCTTGGGAGCCCAACCCTAATTTTCTCTATAAATACTCCCCTTGGGAGTAGTTATAGGGGTTACAAAATCATTCTATTGAAGCATATTATCGCACTTCTCTCTCTAGCTCTCACTTCTCTCTAGATATACTCTATCATTTGGTGCTCTCGTTGAGAGCTAGAACAATCAAGTTAGCACCCTTCGTCGCTACCAAGCACAGCTAACCACTGATCATGGGGAGAACTAAGTCAAACCGCAACCTCGTCAGCAAAGTCATCCCTGAGGACCAAGAGCCCAGGGAGCACGATGAGGACGCCACGGCCGACCAGGTCGGCGGAGGGGATCTCTTCCAGGAGGCCTTCAACCTCACAACGGACCTCCGCAACCAACTCAACGACGGCGTCCCTGATGCCCGCCTCGGCTTGGACAAGAAGCGAGCTGAGAAAGCGGACCACGCCCCGGCCCAGCCTATGGCCGCGGCCTCTCCGTCCGTAGATCCACAGGTCCAGGCCGCGCTGTCGGCCATCATCGCCAGCCTAGCTCAAAACCCCACCGTCCTCAGCGCACTCTTGCCAAGGACCGGGGGAAACGTCACTCCACCTCCTCATCCCCAACCGTTGGTCGTCCAGATAGGCAACAATGAGGGGGTTGTGGCCCAGGACACGGCGTCGTCCCACTCCCACCCCGCTTCCCCTCTTCGGCCCGGGCAGACCCCAGCGCGTGGAAAAGCCTCTGCCTTCAATAGGCTAGGTGACACGCGCCGTCGTCCGGTTTCGGAGAGGATGGCGGGACGGATTGGTGATCCTCATCCTAGCTCGCCGAGGGAAAGCTTGGGGTCTGTGTCCCGGACAGCGGACCAGCCCCGCCCGGAAAAGGGCAAGGGAAAGTTGCACGAGGATGACGTGCGTCACCAGATCAACGCGGCTCACAACGACCGCATGAGGAACCAGCCGGGCGCCGGCGCGGCCGACAGGGACCCCCGGGACGAGGTCATCGCCCAGCTGGAAAGGAGGCTAGCTCAGATGGAGGCCAAGCAGTCGGCCAACATCCCCACGGCCGGCGCCTCCAACGACCCCGACCTCAACGCGCTCATGAACAAAGTCAGCGCCCTGGAGAGGGAGTTGGCCGAAGGGCGAGGTGACCCCATCATCCAGGTCAGGACCAGGACCCCTTTCACCAACAGGGTCCTCTCGGCCCCCATCCTGGAGAAGTACAGGGGGAACGCCATCAAGTCCTACGATGGCCGATCAGACCCCCAGGAACACTTCAGCCGTTACCAGAACAACATGCTGATGGTGAATGCGTCCGACGAATACCTCTGCCGTTGGTTCCTCTCTACTCTCGAGGGGCCAGCGTACGAGTGGTTCAACGGGCTCCCAGAAGGAAGCATCGACTCATGGCAGGATCTCGCCCAGTGCTTCCTCACTCACTTTGCCAGGAGGAAGCGCGCGAAGAAGTATTTCACCCACCTCCTCTCCGTCAAGCAGCAGCACGAGGAGTCCCTCCGGTCATTCATCGATCGGTGGACGAGGGAGACCGAGGAGGTCGAGGGGGCCGATGAGCGCACCCTCCTCGCCCTGTACCAGGGAGCCCTCCGCAGCTCCCTGTACGCTAGGAGCCTCATCACCGACCCCCCGAGGTCGTACGCCAAGGCGCTCCAGCGCGGAGGCTTGTATGCCGACGCCGACGAGCTCCACAATCACAAGAGAGAGGGGGGCCATCCCCCCAAGAAGACAAATCCTTCGCCGGCCCCGGGTCCGTCCCCGGCCGGCCAGGGTGCCCAGGGCCGCCACGGCTCTGGTGGACAGAGTAAGAAAGACCGCCACTGGCGGCCGAGGCTGGAACGGCCGGGGGTAACCCTCACCCACCCGGTCGGCACCATCCTCGATTATGCCGAGAAGCACGGCCTCATCGAGCAGGCTCCTCGGCCGGCCGAGGAGATCCTTGCCATCCAGCAGGGCGGCACATACTGCCGGTTCCACAAGAACTCGTCGCACAACACCGACGATTGCATCACATTGAAGAAGGCCATCGAG